CGTACCCAAACATACCTTGTAATTGCATCAAAATGTGATTCTAGTTCTGACTCAAAGGGTGAAATATGGATGTCAAACTTTTTTAATTTTTAGAAGCAAAAAATATATATATATATTCAAATGGAGCATTGTTTTTACTTGACAGCTGTGCTCTATTTCTTGTTCTCATATCAAAGAATATTACACTAACATATACTTGCATTTCTGGCTGAAACCACTGCCATTTATGAACATGTGACTATGGGCGGTTGCCCAGGGTGGCATTGGAAATGGAGCATACAAGCAGCAGATCAAACCTACTTGCTAGTTGAGCAATGAACAAATTTTTATTGCTTTTATGCATGTGCAGTCAATAGGGAGTTGGCGCCCTCTGCTTGCAACTAGGACTATTTTCCGTGCAGGAATGCAATACATTTTATCCCACCTCTAAATTTAGATATCTTGCATTTGTATTGATTGAGGTACTGCAAAAGAGATTTACTGAGGCTCCCATTCATGCAAGAACCACTACTGGTTGTAACACGTCAAAATTTGAATGGATTCCAGGTGTATTAAATGCGGAAGAAACCCAAGTTAGTCAGACGCAATGAAATATCCTATAGATTACAATATCTTTTTGTTATAGAAAAACAATTATTCTATTCATCCAGAAAAAGAAAACATGTACAAATTTGGAGGGACGCTTTATAACATATTTGTGTATTTTTTTTATGTTTCCTTGATAGAACAGCAACAACCACACGGTGGATGTGGCATTAAACAGTGACTTGTAAATGTATTCATGCACATTAAAGCTTTTTTCTTTTCACCATATAACTATCACGCATTTAAATTTGTTTTCTTTCAATTTTATTTGACCATAATGTCACAAAATGTAAAAATGCCAGCAGAGTATGAATACTCTTGTAAGACTTTGTTGAGTTGGGAAAGGAAGATGTGATTGGGAAAAAAAGTGTGATACCTGTTTTTCTGTTTTCTATATGTAGTCATAATATTTTATCTTTCTCCTTCTCTCATATTCTGTCTGTACTCTCTTTTTTTGTGTCTCTCTCACACACATACACACGCAGACACATGGTTGTGTACCTTCTGTAGCCAGGTAATACTGATTAAGTATGAATAGAAAAATTGCACAAATTCCTAGAGACACTTCAAAAGACCTTCAAACCATGGAGATCTATTGATGAAGAACACACGAAGAAAAGAGAGTCTGATGCAAACAAAATCTGGGTTTCTGGAAGCAACTTTAAGACTTTTCAGTCATAACCTATATGCATTCATTTCATAATGTCTGCAGTAAACCTCATATTTTAGTTACCCAGCAGAGTGCATTTTACATATGTTGCCTGAGTTTCTTGATCTATACAGAGATATTGAGCGTCATGAAACACAAATTTACCAGCTAAACTGATACTAACAGATTTTTATGTGGGATTAACTATATTTTACTAGAAATAATTTAATTGATAAAAAGAAGGTATAGCATAAGAGTCTGTGATGCGAGTACTACCTCTGAGTACAAGATTCATTATCTTGTAGGAGTTTTATGCTGAAGAGTGAGCTGGGACAGGTGGCTGTACCAGTTTAACAACTTGCTGACAGTCCTTTATTGAAGCTGTGATGTGACATGGTTCAGTGTGGGCTACTTCTAGCTCAACAAAAATTAAAAGCTGCATTAAATGAGTTAGACATCAAAGGGAAATACTAAAATGTGTTTATGAGCAGAGTTAACAGAACAGGAAAACTTGCTGACGAGTCAAAAGAAAACAAACCAAATCAGTTTCCCTGGTAAAGATGAGAAAAGCCTCTTTATTTATTAAGAGGCTCCGGTTTGAGATGATAAATCTCTTGATTGGGAAAAATAATCTAAAACACACCAGAGAAAGTAATATTAAATATTATCGAGCTGCAGAAGTATAATGCCGTACTTGTCATTGCTGCTGTTTTCTTTAGAAGAACCCAATCTTTGATTTAAGAACATTTTATTATGAGGGGATAAAATTGTATTTATTTTTATCAGCAAACTTACTTTCAAGCCTACAAATTCCTGTAAAATAAATAGAACTAAAGCTATTTAATTTTTACTTTTCCAAATGCATTAATGTCAAGGAACTTTAGGTTAGTAACCCATGACTTTATATTCCCTGGGTTATTTAAATGAATGATGGAGACAACAACTTCTTGTTGCTACTCTTCAAAACATAAAAGTCAAAAGCATGAGAGTGGAAAAATTACTGAATTCAACTTTGATTCCAAAGACACTTGTTCCCATTTTTGTTGGAACAATTGGTGGGGGGAAGGGATTCGCAAAATGATGGATTTTTTTTTTTATTTCAACATAAAGTAGAATCTGTAATTATTTATGAACGTTTCTGTACTAGACAAATAAGTATGTTTGTTATTTTTTTAAAGTGCATTAAAATAAAGCTAGAAGGTGGGTGTAATATTTTTCCATTGCTGTTTTTATTTTATTTTTTTATTTTATTTTTTTAAGTTTGAAAGCTGAGAATATCTGGTGTAGGTTTCATAAGCAGTTTCTATTAAACATGAAGTCAAAGCTCCAGCTGCTCGGCCGATCACAACTGTAGCATTCTTCGTCTCTTTGTGGTGTTCCATGCAGAGAAAGGTGTGTACTGCAGAGTCAAGTACAGCAAACACTCTCAGCACCGATGAAGCTTTGCTTTCAAAATAACAACAGGCTGCCCTGGAAAAGACATCTCCTTGATTGTAGATGATTTATCTCCATAATTCTGCAGCAATTAAACCTTTTAACCCAATCAATCATGCCTTGGGCAATGAAACACCCCCTATGCCATCACAGTTGTTTCTGCTGATAACTACCTGGAGGGTCTTTCTAATGTTTGGCACTGTGAATCCAACATCTGTTTCTTCCAAAAGCAGCTAAACTACAGATTAATCAAACAAAGAAAGTGCTTATGTTCCTTTTGTCTGTCTGAATGGAGCCCACATTCTGAGAGATCAGCAAGACCTCTGTACATGTGGCGTTGGCCTTTCATGTTCCAGTTTCAGTTACACTTTGCATGCAGTGGCAGGGGAGTTGAGAATTTGTTCATGAAAAAACAATCTACTTTTCTTCTATTGACACCTATATTTTACAAAACATGTTCACAATGATGCTGTATAATATCTCTCTTTTTCTTCCACTTTCTCATTCAATTTCAGTTCAGTTCAGTTTAGAAACGGTTGCCACTTTAAGGCACTTATCAATAAAGCTCTGGAGATGCTGCTCAAACCTTTATCCATCTAAACAAAAATATACACTACAATTTGAAGAAATGTTCCCCCCAAACATGTTTCACTATGTGTATGGTGCTCTTTTTGCTGATGCATATTACTCTTTCATTACCCTTTGAAACTATGGCCATAGAGTCCCAGTTTGGTTTCATTCATTCATTTAATCAGATCCAGATACTTTGGGAAAATAAAAGACTTCTGCCTTGCAAACTTACTTCTTACTCCAGACAAATGGAGCATACAAGAGATTGTTGTCACATACAGAGCACAAGCAGTACTTGCTAGAAATTTTTGCTGATCCTTCAATGTTACTTTATGCTTCTTGGCAACCTCTCTAACTAGTTTCTGTTTTATATTCTTCCTCATCTTGAAGATGTTATGTTTCGGTCACCGAAGCACCATTTTTCCTTCAGTTACTGATAATGGCGCACTTCACTTTAATACAGTATACCACAGTTAAGCTCGATAATATTTCATATTACTTTCTCTGGTGTGTTTTAGATTATTTTTCCCAATCAAGAGATTTATCATCTCAAACCGGAGCCAGTACTCTGGCTGGACCACTCCAAAAACATCAATCATTGTCAGACAAAATGCACCTCCAAAATTTAAAGATTAACTGAAAACTAAATCTGCCTGGAGTAAGAATAATTTTGAGAATAACAGAGCTTTTTGTAATTTTTTTCTTACCAAAAGCATGCGTTAACAAATAAAAAAATTCCTGTAGCTTGAGCAAATTCCCTCCAATTAATGGCAACAGGAAGCTGCAGAAGATTCAACTTTGAAATTAGATTAAAAACTGGTTTGACAACGTTTTAGAGTATTTCTGTGCACACTTATTGTGTACTGGGGTTATTGCAGCTTCTCATCTACTATTCTATCTTTTAAAGATGAATGAATTGTTTTTTTGCTGAAATTATAAAATAATCCCATTGAATGGGGCAATAATTAGCAAATAATTGATCCTGGTGTTGTTTGAAATCACACATTTTGACAAATTTTCTCAAAAGTTTTAACAAGAAAGTCTAAACTTATGAGAGTCCCTCTAAATTTATTTGAGACTATTAAATAAGAAAATAGTTGTAGTAAATCTGCAGCACTCATTTCTTCCTGCTGATAAGTACAGCTCACTCCTCTACACTTGTATGTGTAAAGATGCATATGGGTGAGAAGGACTTAGACTTCCAAACGCTTTAGGTATTAAAGCATTAAAGCTGGGTGTGAAACTAAAAATAGCCTAGGAACCAATTTGCTGAGGACAGCGTGATTTTCTACACGTGACAGGCAACCGGCAACACGGCGCTGTCCCTGGTGCTGAAACTGCATCCGGTAGAGGTTTTCGTCTTTATGTCTAATAAATCAGAGACATCGAACTACGAGTCCTATTTATGTTGGAGCTGCAATAGAACTGGGTCAACAGTTTAAAGCATCATTTTAATACAACGCTGAACAAGTGTTACAACTGTAATTCCTCCAAAGCAACAGTGCGAGGCGCATGCCGAGACTAATTCCGTTTACAGAATGAGAGAGAGAAAGAGAGTTTGATTGATCATGTGGGCTATGGAAGCCTGCGAGAATTGTGGAAAATTGCTGCATAGACGCCCCTTTGGCACCTATCGAGTGGCCAGTGACTCCAAGCCCTTCCGAGGCCAAGCAGCCAACCTGCACCGGCAGCCGGGTATACCTGTTAACACACTCCCCCATTCTTCCGGGTTCTGGACCTCAGAAAGGCAACATGAACTTACCGCAGTTCTCACACAAGATCCTCCCCACATCCTTCCTCAGGTTCTTCCCACTCGTGTCAACGGGCGCGAACGATGCCTTGAAAACCAAGGGCTCGTCCGTGGGGTCCATGAAAAAGATGTACTTGTGGTTCTTTTTCACTTTGGCGCACGGAGCCTCGGATCCGAACTCCCCCACGGTGACGAGCTGCTCCCGCTCCAGACCGCCGCTGTTCAGGGGCCAGACCTCCAGCACTTTGACACTCACACGGTACGGCTCCACGGACGCGTTCCCCGCAGGCGTGGACTGCACCTTGCCCTCGATCACCACGGCGGACCTGTAAGCTTGGTCCTGCAGGGAATTCAGACTCGGGGAGTAGCAGGCGAATGAGACCCCGATGAGCAGCATGGATAGATGCACCGGATCAAGCCTCATGCCGCCTGCTTTGGCTCGGTGGGGGCTGGTCGCGTTGCGGCAGGGCACTCTGGGCTGCGGGGCGATGGCGGTGGACCTGGGTTGAAGGAGGAGAAAGCGAGTAGGCTCCAGCAGTAGCACGGCAGCGCGGCGGACCTTGCATAAGTGTCCATGCCATCGGGATCCGCTGCTTTTTCCCCAAATGCTTTTCAGCGGGTAAACAGCAGCTTTTGCAGCAGGGATGACGCTGGCTTTTAAATCCAGTCACTGCTTCCTGCTAATGATAAGGCATTGTAAATGTTTCTTCTTTTTTTTTAAGGAAGGAATTGTAGACCCCCTCCCTTCTTCGTTATTCTGCCATAAGACGACGCCACTCTTTATATTTGCCCCCAAAAATTGCAGTGGGAAGGTACCGCTGTTATGGTTCTCCGTATCATCTGCAACGGAGGGAAGAGACGCAAAATGCTGCAGTGAAGCACAAGTTGGGGGAGCCTGATCGCAAAACAAAAGGACCCGTTTCATTCCACGAAAACAAAATAGAACAATGATAAAAAATAAGAACAATAAAAAAATAAATAAAAGGAATTATTTCTGCACGCCAGCTACAGCGTTAATACGCCGCCTTCCACCGCGGCTCTCTCTCCGCCTCCCCTACCAGCCGCTGACGGAGAGAAAATAAGACCGATCGCCAAGGGGCTCCAAAAAACAAAAAACAAAAACAAAAAACGCAGAATACAAGACACCGATGGACCAAAAGGGTCTGTCTCCCCCCCTATTAATTCTGCATGTCAGTCACTCCATGGTGTTTCTTCTGCGAGGATCTCTTGCTCTAATAAAACAAATGCAAATCCTAAATCCATGGCTCCCCCTCCTTACAAGCGCATCCTACTGTAGCCAAGGCATTTTGCCCCCTCTAAAAAAAAAAAAAGAAATTATAAAGATTAACAACAGGGATAGGGGGGGTGAAAAATGAAGCCGCATATGTAAGTCCTGGAACTCTGGCGATGACTAACACTGCGAAAGCGTTTCGGAGTCTTCGGGAGTCTGTTCTGAATGAGTTTTGCGTCTCATCCCATTAAGTCAAGCCCTGCATTCAGGTCACATTCGCCGCTCTGCCTCGGAAAAAAACTGAGGTTGAGGAACCCACATTTAATCTACACATCTAATTCAAATGCACTACAAAAGTCCACAACTAAAAAAAAAAAAAAAAAAAAAAACACTGACAGTTTTAGAAATAATAAATATTCTATTAAAACCTCTCCTCTTTATTTTTGTGTGTTTTTAGTTCAGTTTTAGGTTTGCACTTTTGCACAGAGCTTTAAGCCTCCAACCAAATTCAAATAGAATCCTTTGTCTGAGGTTTGTTTTGACAAATGTTATTGACAAACTAACTCAGGTAAGGAAGATAAAGGTTTAGTTTGTATGCTAGATACACTGCGGATACAGGACGTTGGAGTCAGTATTCACAAAGAGCGACATCTACCGGCCATAATGGTCATTCAAAAAAAGAGCATCCACACATGGTGGGCGCAGCTTCTCTATAAATTTGGAGAAGTCGAAAAGTTAGATGCACACTTAAGGTGTTATATTCTAAATGTTTATTTCTGATGATATTATGATTAAGAGCTACAACTAAGAAAAACTTAAATTTCTCAGAAATGTAAGCCATCTTAAGTTAGGGTTGAAACATTCATGGAGACTTCACTGTTGTCAAGCATACAGTCCAGATGGAGGATGAGTCACAAAGGTATATTAGTGAATAAGCTTTCAGAAGTTGGCTTACAGATGGTGCACTTAGGGGAAAACTTAGTGGAAGGTAAACGTGATAGAAAAAGACGAGCAATAGATAACACTGTAACAATGAAAGAACTGCGAAGTAAAAATCATTCTTACTGGAATTACATGGCATGGACAGTCAGTCCAGGACATGGAGTTCAGATGTTCCAGAATTAAAGTAAGAAGCTTCTAATCTGGACTATGGGGAAGTAGGACTGCAGTGTTGCTAAGTGATTCGAAGTCTATTTTTCAGTTGAAAGTCAGTCTTGCATTTTAATCAAAAAAAGATCTCAGAGTCTCAGAGCAGGGGTCTTCAGTTCAGTTTAGATGTGTCTCTGATTCAAAAGAAAGGAAAGGTATCAACAGAATGAATGGCTGGAACTATACACAAAATTTAATTAAAAGTTGCTTCAGAAGTAGCTGCAATATGTAACTTTTACAACAATATGTTTATTACATGTTTATGAAAACATGAGACAGATGATTTGTGAAAAGATCAAACTCCTCCGCTTCCTGTTATTGCCATCACCAGAAATGTGCTGCTCTCGGTCAAAAACAACCAATCCGAGCCAGTAGGAGGATCTTAGCTCAATATGCAAATAACAGAGAAACAACTTACAGTTCTAGGAAAACTACTTATCCACCATCACTGGAGGCCAAGCAAGCTAGCCTGGCTATTTGTGGCAGAGTCTGTTTTGGGGAACTAGCTGTAGGCAAGCAGAAAGCAATGGGGAGAGTGTGAGCAGCACTTACACAAGAGTAATTGACAGCCCTAGACCATTCTCTTGGCTCTGATTGGTTGTTTCTGAAGTCAAAGGAGCATAATTTTTGTTTTCCACAGATTATCTCTGTCATATCATACTGTCATGACATGGTGATTGTTTTAACAAACATGTAAAAAAAAAAGCAACATATTCAGATATACTCACTGATGTATATACAGTGTTGCATCTTTTTTTATACTTTATAGTTTTCCTTCAAATAAATTTTGTTTGTTTTTTACTTAAGTATAAAATAAATTATTGAGGTGTTTTTCCCATATTTCACATTCTTTTGGGACCATTTGGTCATACACTAATAAAGAAATCAAACATAGAAAGTAATCAAAATAAATTATTCAACAAGTGAAGGTATAGACAAAAAAGACACGTAACTTTAATTAGATAGTTTATGTAAAAACCTTTTCTGGTAATAAAAACGTCAAATTGTCTTGTGTGGAGAAACTACTTATATGGATTTCTTTGCTGTAATTTTGACACATTCGTCAGCACAAATTATTCATTATGATCTTCAGTTTACATACATTTTCAAATAGATATAGTGTTTGACTTGGTCCTTTTTACAGTTTTGCTTTCTCTCAAACCAAGTAAGAGTTTTACTGGCTGCATGTTTGGGACTATTGCTCAGAAATCCCACATCTTGTTTCATCGTTGTATTTTCATCAAAAATGCCCTTGTTCATTTCTCCAATCATCCTCCCTTCAATTATATGAAGTCCACCAGCACCATATGTGGTGGGCCAGCCCACGCCATAATGTTCCCACCTGCAAACTTCACCTTTGGCATAGTGTTTTGGTGGTGTTATGCAGGTCTGTTTTTCCTCCAAACATGATGTATGCACTGAAATCCAAAGAGTTCAACACAGGTAATTAGATTACATTTTCCCAGTATTTAACTGGCATGTGCAAATCTTCTGCAGCTTTTCCAGCCAACCTGAAGGGGATACTTTGTTAGATAGTTTAGATAAATGTAGCAAATAAATGAAGGCAAAGAAAAATGCTCTTGAAAAAAAGTAACTGAATGCAAAGGTGTTGAGGAGAAGCATTTGAAATTTTGAAAGAAATTCATAAAAAACTGAACTTTTGATGTGCTGAAGCTGCTATAAATTGGCTGTTTTTGATTGAGATTTTTATTTTCAAACAGTTCAGTACGCACAAAAGTTTTACTTTGTGGCAGTTTCAATCAGCAGGAAGGATGGATTGTGCACCATAAATTATTGTTGTGGATGTAGATCAAATGAAGGACATGTAACACTAGTAGATCTGTAATGACATCATTTCTAAATTAAAACAAATTTCAAGGTCAAACTTAAATCATTTAAAATTATTTATAGCTAAATCCGAGAGGCCTTTGCTGATTTGGGGGTCACTAGCAACAAGTTAGTTTTCTTAAATAAAGTTATTTACCTTGATAATCTGTATAAAAGTTTATCACTGTTACTTCAATTTTCATGTCTCTGGAGAATGCCCTCTGAGCTTCCGGCTTCCCTGCTCTCCGTGGTGCTGAAGTTGCAAAATTTTAAATCAGAGCCCATAAACCAGAACTTAACAGAAGAAAAATGTGCTAAATGTAGCCACAGATCAAACTTTGTGAATGTCTCCCACACTCTTAAATGAGCTTTCCTTCTCAGTCCTCTCTTTGTGTTGCCTTTTACACCAATCTAGTTTGTTTTGCTTTGGTAAAACAAGTTGCTTTATTGATGATATTTTGTGACATGTTCTCCTTGTGAACATTAATGACTATCTGCTGAGCAACTGTCAAAACAACACTGCTCCATATTTTGTGTAGGCTATGATGTCCCAATAACATGACGTTTCTACATGGAAACTCAATTTTATCTATATTAAATTCAAATTCAAAAATATATTATGGATCTTAAAGCAAAATTGAGATCCAGAATGATCTCATTTGTGGCTCCATGTTGGCTTTTCATTCATTTTGAACCATAATTATCAAATTTAGATGACATAAATACTTGAAGTATCACCATTTGTGAACTGGATGCAATGAGGAGTTTCATTTGTTTTTTTTTTTGTTTGTTTTTTTTTTTTTATGAATTACTAAAATAAGTAACTTCCAGTGATGGTCTGAATTATTGACATGAACTTGTCAATTCCAAATGTATCTTTCTCCACAGACCCTTATCAGCTGACCAGCTCCTTTTAGTTGTCACCCAAAAAATTAGAGTCAATGGAATTTTAGAGTGGATCTGACTTTTTCTGTTTTGGCTACTAAACTTTGGAACACATCTATTTTAATATTGTGCTGCGCCTTTGGCAAACTTGCTGAATGTGGTTTGCAATAAAGTAAATTAATATAAATTTAGACAAGTGGAGTTGTAGGAACTGGCAGACCTAACTGGGGACACCCAAAGTTATATTTAGCTTTGGGACATTGTAAAGCATTAAAGCATTATAATATTCTCAGGAAATGCAGGAGAACGTAGAATAATTATCACGTGAAAGTGACGTAAATTAAGACAGAAGTCATGAAAAAAGCTGAAACATTTAAAAGTACTGCTTACCTTAATGCATATTCCTTGCCTACCTGTTACCATTTTCAAGCAAAGCCTGCAATTCTTCTCCTCCACCAAAGTGAGGCATCGTACACCACTTTACGTGTTGACATCAGCGGCGCAACGTGCGGCGCCGAACTTGTGCGTGTGTCGCTCGGCGTGCCACGACTCGCCGTTTCTGGTCCATCTTGTGAAGCAGGCAGATGTAGTGTTGGGTGCTGCTAAAGAAGGGGCCGTTCGAGTGTCTGTCCATGAATCCTCCACCTCGTCTCGCCTGCGTTGCGTTGTCTGGGTTGTAAAGGCTCTCAGTCCCGCAGACGGAGCTGCGGGGGGCGGGGGGAAAGCAAAGAAAGGTAAGGTTACAGCAGGAACCAAATTCTGTGCGTACAGTTGCGATTTGGGTTATTGTAGCCGTCCTATTGAAGTGCCGTGACGTGCGACCAAGCATATGACAGCGCTCTGCAGAGTTTCCAAAGCATGACATCTCAACATATATGGCTGATCTGGAGCAGCGACGGAGCTGTCGTCTGGAGCGTCGCCACGCAGCGTTTCAGTGCCGGGATGTAGGGCAAAACTTTGTGAGGAGATTACGGGGTCTGGCTTCCACTAACTGCGACAGCACCTTATTATTGAGACAGAAGCCTGTTTTGGATCCGAACAGAAATACTTTTTTGTCCACCATTAAAAAACACCTGAACAAATATAAGGTGACCCACTGACAGCATTAAATAAGTTGATAGATTGGTTGTTCGTATACTGGAGCAGTAAATGGATCAGCCAGCAAGGAAAGAAACCAAGGAAGAAGGGAGGGAGAGAAAACAATGCAGGGTCCAGGAAACAAATATGTTGACCAGGTTTTTGGATCTAAAACTGCTGAAATTTGGTTGTTTCCTTGCCTAGTTTATGTGCAATGGGCAAAACGTTGCGACACTCGTAAGACTCAGGTTATTCGCTTAAGAAACGTTAATTACATAACATTTAGACTTATGTATGTCACAATTGTCCTCTATATTTAATTAAAATAAAAAAATATAAACAAAAAATGCTTATTTTAGGCTATGTGGACGGTTAAAAACAATACACGTCTTTTAAACTAAAATTAAGAAATAAATATCCGATTCATTGTCACAACTAATAATTTTTCACGCAAAAACAATGTCTCATACTTGACTTCACGGATCATTCTTGGACAGCATCCAGTAAAAAACGAGCACGTTTTCATATCTAAAATATTAATTCGTTTTGTAATATATTAGAATGGGATACCTGTCAGGTATGAGGAGTAATGGTTAATAAATGAAGAAATGTAACTAAAGAAAACTGAACAAATCTCACCAGGCCTTCAACATACCGCCTCAGCGCATCTCAAGATTTGACTTCAGACATCGACTTATTAATTTATTTTACTTACTTACATAGACTTCCACTGGAAAGGAAAATAAATGAGCCATCACTTATTATATTTATACTGTCAGCATTTTTATTACTCTGGGTATCAAAAATAATTATTTGCTCTTAAAAATATTCATGTTGTGTTTTTTGAAATTTTTGATTTTTAAAAAAATCTTTTGCTTAATATTTTATTCCTCATTAACAGTTTTTTTTAAACAATCTAAAACTGAAAAAAGTTTCATATCTAGCAGTATAATAGTTTGGATATTAGACTACCTTTCATCCGGGACCTTCAAAGTACCTTTGGAAACCGTACATAAATATTTCCTTTCAGGAGAAAATACTGAATTACTTTTTTATCATATGGCCTTCAGTGTATGTAAAAGTTTTGTTTGCTATCATTATTAAAAGTAACATATTAAATGTGAAACGGAGAAAAAGAAAGAGGAGACCGTCAATGTTTGGGCCAAAAAATAATCACGTTTTTAATTATTTATGTTATTTATTTAATTAATCATTTTATTTGCATTAAACCTCCTGTGTCGATGCTCACACATTTCATGGGCATTTTATTCAACTCAGCGAATCGGCCTATTGGCGATGTAATCTGCTATTGTTATCCATCGTTTTGTTTTTAGAAATGATTTTATTTGAACATTAATTGAAGCACGGCGAAACATCTGCTTGAAATGGCGTTAAAACACATTTAAAATATTTCAAATAAAAATTAGCCAACGGTTAATTATACAGTGGACCAGAAACAGCTAAGAGTACATTTTTCCACCTATGTTTTATTTACGATATGTTTTTTATTAGGCTGGCATAAAACTACGACTTTCCCTTAAAAAAAAAAAAGAAAAAGATATATATTTTAACTTAAATAAATACATTCATTATGCATTACTTTATATTTTTAGTTATTTGTTGTTGTTGTTGTTTTTTTCATTTTATTATAAAAGTTGTATTAGTTCTAGTTGAGTCGTTGTGCTATGAAGGAGATGCGTCGCCCAATTAGCTAGTTTAACCAACACATATACAAATTACTTATCACGCTGGTAACAGTTTTTGAATACTACATGCCTTCATTCCAAGTTCACCGCGCCTCAAAATGTGATTTAAGTGACAAAATGCTGCTGATCGTGGTTCTACTGCACAGCAGACCGTGTACTGTCACTCAACAGACATTTACAAGGAAAGATCTGCCACCTGATTCGTGAGTGTGGACAACCCGTAGAATAAGTATAAGGGATGGCTCGTAAACGATGTGCGGCCAAACAGCGGGGAGGAGAGAGGCCTCTGTGCTAATTAAAGGCTCCAAGCAACGTGGCAACAGCCATTATCAATACGGCGGCAGACCATGTTGGCTTTAAAGTAAATATTAAAATAAATAAGTTTTTTTTATTTCCCAAAGCGCGGGTTAAGGTTACAAGCGTACCATAACTGTTCAGTTTATGGAACTGAACAGTTATGAACGCCCCTGTCGGATTCTGCAGATTTCTTGCTTTGATTTGTCTTTAGTCATTTGGAAAAAGTGACTTAATGACTCACTATCGCCCTGCCAAGATCATTATTATGGAAATGTGTGAATATTTCTTAATTATAAAATGGAGAATATTTACATTTTCATAACAAGTCATCCTGCTGACTCTTTGCTGGAAAAGAGAGATTGGTCTACTCTGTGCTACAGACACAGAACACCACATCTCAAAAAACAGACATGACTTTACTGACCTATGATTTTATTTTTTGCCTGAATGTGGCCCACACATACACCCATATTTGTGTATATATATATATATATATATATATATATATATATATATATATATATATATATATATATATATATATATATATATATATATATATATATATATATATTGGTTTGTTTGTTTTTGTTTTTTTAATTATTATTATTTTTAGTAAGTTACATACAATTTTCAGGTAATCAGCATTAGAAAAAGAAAGTAGGGTCTTCCCACAAAGAAAAAGTACCTGTTCTTTCGTCGCGTGTCCCGAATAATCGAAACTGATATTAATCTGTGGAATTCGTAAGTTTCGTTTTACTTGAAGCGAAAAGACAGCTCCTGACATCAGGAAAACACCGGGAGATGGAGAACTCAGCAGCAGTTTTCGATCTGCATTAACGTACCCTCCCTTTCCCTTTCCTCGCTGTTTTATACCTGTGTAGATCTCGCGAGAGCTCCGAGCACGGGCTCAGCTGGCCGTGGCTTTGCAGCAGACGGAAGGAGAAGGCAGGCGAGGCAGGCAGGCAGCATCATGGCGGACAGAGACAGTGGAAGTGAGCAGGGAGGAGCAGCCACGGGCCCAGGCTTCGGCTCCATGCACCTAGCGGCAGGAGGGGCGGGCTCGGCTTCCGGGCTCCAGCATGAGACGCAGGAGCTGGCGTCTAAGCGGGTCGACATCCAGAACAAGCGCTTCTATTTGGACGTTAAGCAGAACGCGAAGGGCCGCTTCTTGAAGATAGCCGAAGTCGGGGCCGGCGGAAACAAGAGCCGCCTCACACTCTCCATGTCCGTGGCGGTCGAGTTCCGAGACTACTTGGGGGACTTCATCGAGCACTACGCCCAGCTGGGACCGAGCAACCCTGGGATGGTACAGGACGAGCCCAGGCGGGCGTTGAAAAGTGAGTTCCTGGTCCGGGAGAATCGGAAATACTATATGGATCTGAAAGAGAACCAGAGAGGACGGTTTCTGCGGATCAGACAGACCGTTAACCGGGGGCCCGGGTTGGGATCGACGCAAGGCCAGACGATCGCTCTTCCAGCACAGGGACTTATTGAGTTTCGCGACGCTCTGGCTAAACTTATTGACGATTACGGCGTAGAGGACGAGCCCGCGGAGCTGCCGGAGGGATCGTCGTTGACTGTGGACAACAAGCGTTTTTTCTTCGACGTCGGCTCCAATAAGTACGGCGTGTTTATGAGGGTGAGCGAGGTGAAGCCCACCTACCGCAACTCTATCACGGTGCCCTACAAAGTGTGGTCCAAATTCGGAAATACTTTCTGTAAATACGCCGAGGAGATGAAGAAGATCCAGGAGAAGCAGCGGGAGAAAAGGGCATGCGAGCTGCAGCAACAAGAGGAGATGCAGGCGGACGACGGAGACGAGGATTGATAATAGAGAAAACGTGCAAGAGTAATGAAAAATAACAAGAGAATTAAAGTAAAAACTCTACTGTATAAAGAAAAATCTAAATATTTTAACTGTAAAGGTTTAACTCCAAGGGAGCATCACTCTCAGTATAAGAAACCACAACCTGACAGTTATGACATGTTGTCACTCATCTGCTGGATGTTACCCCACTTATCACCATTAATACAGTAATAGGCTGCTAAACAAAGTAATAACATTATATTTGAACATTGATTCCTACTTGACAAACAATATTGAACGGAGTGTTTATTTCCCTTATTAACAGAGAACTTTTGTACCAGTTAAAGCTATTGTTAAAAAAAGGAGAAAAAAAAAGTGTTTGCAATGTTCAAATGGAAATAAGAGGGGCGCGGGGGTCCTTTACATGTGAGCTAATGACTTCAGCACAAATCAGATATTTAAATTTTTCAAAAAAACAAAACAAAATTCCAAATCTTTGTAAAAGATTGTCACATGTACTCGCCATCCTATTTACCTTTACCTGTGAGTAGAGATGTGTTTACACATAAATCATATATGAGGGCTAGGCCTGCTATGGAAACTGGTTAGATGTCATGCAGTATATTAAAAAAAGGAATATATAGGCATTTTCATGAAATGAAATAAGTGCTATTTTTGTTGTGCAATATGCATTTCAGATAAATCGATTTATATTGAACTGGTCAACAGTTGACATGACCATTGCTAGAGGCATTCAAAGAAATATAGATATTGTGATTTTTCTTTATTTTTTTGTTTGAGTTGAAATTGTTGCCATGCAGATCGATATATTATAGATTACCGGTACCTTTTTGTCTCGTTGTTGATGCAATGTGGTAATTATAAAAGGTACGTTCTGTGTATTTCATAGAGGAAATGCGGTGACATGTAGCAATTTGCCCCATTTGCAAATTATTTAACAAGACACACGCCCTTACACATGAGCTGTGTTAATTGGCCGAGTTAAATGCGTAGATGCATTGAAATGAGTGGAAATGGAGATGCACCGATCACAATTGATGGTTTTCTTTAAAATCCAACCAGCTAATTCTTTTGTGTTTATCATGGTCTGTTAGAAATTAAAGGCATGATCATTTTTCTGATGTCTTTTAGATGAACTTTTTAAAGTTTTAGAAAGAATTTCAAAGTACATGCTATTTGTTGATGCATTTTTTGGGGAGTTTTTTGCATTTAGAGAATAGAAAAAGCTTTTTTTTCCCCCATTATTTGACTGATTCCGATTGATTGTTTGGTGCATCTCGACCCTAATAGTAACTTTTTGTTGACATGTTTCGTCTTTAGAGATGCACCGATCACTTTTTATTTTGGCCAGTAACACTTTGTGATTTTCTTTAAACTTCGCCATGTTTAACAGACTCCAAATTGCAACATGTGCTGTTAGCTTTTGGTGGGGAGAGGTCATTGTCTGGGTAAATGATCGGTGCATTTCTATCTGAAACATCTTTTTGTGATCTTGCTCAGTCGTAAGAGTCTACATTGTGCCAAGGAGTGCTATTGCTGCATGTTAACCTGCACTATATGAACCGTTTCATTGATAGGAATCTGAAGTTTGAGTACTTATCCAAAAGTCTTTGGCACAGTTAAAGCAGAAATGGTAATCAGAATATCACCGTTGGTTTAGAAGGAGCCCCCCCCTCTCCCCCAGGTACACACCTGGCTCAGCTGAGGAGGAGGAACATGATGAGGAGGGGATTTAGTCACCTGTTGGTGGTTCTCCAACTTTAGCCCTACAAGTTTAAGGCCTGAGTGGTTACTTTGGATGCACACTTGCAGCTTTACGTCAGATTTGGGATTGGAAGCAGTCTGGTCTATTTGTAAATATTTGGGCTGCCACTTGTTAAAAAGACTGGTTCTGGAACCAGTTCAGTCGCATCTCATAGATGTTCGATAGCAGTTTTATAAACTCTTTTGTCAGTAAACTCCAGAGAAACTGGCAACAATCAGTTTATTTCAGATTTACCTCATCATTAAATCAAACGATTGCTCCCACCTTCCAATTGACTGGAAACCAGCAAAACTAGACTGTCCTTTTCCTTGACCACCTTATTTTTTTGGGAGCATCCGGATTAAAGCCTAAGCCACACCTGTATGGGAGAGCGTCCACTTTCAGCATGTAAAACGACCTGGTGCCTTACACACTCCGCATGCTTACACGCTGGCCTGGTGCTTTGGATTGCAGTTTTAGCTTCTTCTTCTTCCAGTTTTGTCTCGGCCCCCTTGTGTGCTAGTGCACGACTCGTGGTGCTAAAAGGGTTTGCTACAAATCCTGGGAGCAGAATTGTTAACTTTCTTTCTGCTACCTTCCTTCCCTATATAACTTCATTGCCATCCCCTTTTTAGCCATCCAGGTATCGGCCTACATGTAAACATGGAAGGGGGTGGTCACCTCCATGCAAGACGATCCAGAGGAGCAGGCTCGTGTCTCGCTGAGCGGGGGCTAATTGTGTGAAATAAGACCTCGACGGTAAGCCCCCACCCCACTTAAATTGTTAATTTTTCAGCTAAAATGGTTAAGTGGTGGTTATATGTGGCAGTAAATGGGGAGTAGCGAACATAATTTTTATTTTTTTCTCAAAGTGTAACTCTACCTTTTCAGCATTATCCCACTTTATTTGTGATATTGGAATGTTTTTGTCCATAAAAGAAAGAGATATATCTATTTTATTTTTGTTTTCCTGTGCAACATTTCATCACTGTGTGCAATATCATATGTGCCAATGGTGGCAATATATGTGTATCAATTAAATATATGATTATAATTTGAAAAGCATGTGACTGAATTCCATGTGTTTTTCTCATGAAGGAGTCGTACGCCTTTATTTGCACTCAAAGTTTCACCCTGGAGAGAAAAAAAAAAAGAAAAAAGAAACGGATACCAAGGGTCTTAGCAGCCTGTTGGGTCAAGCAGTTCACATATGTACTTTAACTTGAAACAAAACATTGTCACTGCGAATGTGCCCCTCTAAGAAAAGGGTTGTGGGTTGTTGAAGATAGACTACAAACATCCAAATGGAGGTTGTTTTTGTTTTATGGAAAAAAAAAGAAGAAATCTCCATTTTTAGCTTTAAGCTAAGAAAAGGTGCTTCAGTCTAATCCTCATTAAGATGTATGGTGAACTGTCTTCAGTGGTTGTTGTGTGTAGCACTTTGCTTTTCCCAGGTTAATGAAACGCCTGACCAATACTTGTTTAACAATGATCTCATCAAAGAATGTCGTTCTTTCTCTTATGTTGCCTCTTTTTTTTTTGTTCAAATGTTATATATGATTTGCTCATTTGATGCATTAAGTATAATTTATGTACATTTGACAAATTTAAAAGAAAGAATAAATTTATTTCTCCCACTCAGTGGGAATCTACATAAAAAAATGTATGTCTCCCCCCCATGTTTTGTTTCCTGTGCAGGAGGGTCGGGGAGGAAGAAAAAGTTTATTTTTGATGTAGTGTTGTCTACAATGTCTGAATCTGCGTTTGCAATGATACTAATTACTAAAGCTTAATTTTACAGCCTCCAACATGCAAACCTTTCAACTATTTAATGACTTATGTCTTCTTGGAAAATTTCAAAGTACTGTATATGTAATAAATGCCAGGCTGTAAAATAAAGCATCACTTTATTCTCTAATCATCTGGACTGACTGGGATTTTTGGTCCTCTGCATCAATCACATTTCTGTTTAACCCTTTAATGCTTGATACAAAACACAAGTTTAGAAAAAAAAAATCTGTAGCTCAAATGTTTTTGACAAGATGTTCCTCTCTTTACATTATTATATTGCTGAATTATATTAACGATGTCTAGACTTGATGTCCAGTCAAAAAAATATTTTATTTTAAATTGCTTTAATTAAGCAATATATGATGGCATTTAAGAAAGGACATCCTGTTTAAGGACATGCTACTTGTCCTAATTAAGTACAGGCTGACCTTGGTTGAGGTTTTGTTTGTTTGTTTTACTAAGTCCTTGGAAATTCTGATATGGCTTCAGTATAATAGAAGATATACTTTGCAAAAACATTTTTCTTTATCTCTCGACTTCATGGAACATTTTCCCAGGAGTCTTGGGGATCGTGAAGATGTTTTATGGCACTAATTAAATGGTACTTTATGCATTAAAGTACCATGAGAACTGATGAGGACTGAGAATGTAGTTAGCATAAGTGATGTAAAAAAAAAAAAATTCAGTCAGTTAATTTATTTAACAAGTGTGAGCATTTACTTTTTACTTAAGGTTGATTTGGATTGCTTTTGTTCCTGAACACATCAAATATTCTTTCAAAACCAGATTTTTAATTATCTTTTTTATTTACTCAGGTTATCTTTCTGATATTAAAATGTGTGCATGAAGAATTCTGTCTGTATTTAAATTATGACTTTTGTTGAACACATATTTTTTACCAACAGACTAAAGAAAAATTCCCCCTTTATATTTCTACAAGATTTTAAGCCCCACTTTAAGGGGCACACAGCTTTTGCACTGTTGAATACAACTTGTACTTATCACCTATATTACTAATGTTAGCCGCTAGATGGCGGAAATCAAGAAAAGGATTCAATGCAGTATGCTTTGATGAAGGTAACATTTCTGGAGACATGGGTCTCAGAAATTATTGGTTTTAGGATCAAAATATAATAACAATTTGATGTTGACTCACGGCACGCGCCAGTTTATTTCAGAAAATAATTTAATACAACTTTTGCTTCCAGTCGTATTTGGCTCTTCACAATGCATTCTGAAAAATCACAAACCTAAGGTGTGTCTGTACTACCCTTCCCTTCCAGAACGACCACGGTGAGTGTTTCATGCACATTCGCTGTAGAATATTTATCATGAAACTGTTCAAACTTATTGTTGGCAAGGGGCGAACACGAGGAAATTAAGACTTTTCAGCAAAGACGCTAACTGGTGTTTACCAACACGACTCGTTTGGTGGGTTCTGGGTTGAACTCGAGCAAGTTCAACCCAGAACCCACCACAGTAGGCAGTGAAAGGAGGTCAAACTTATATTTTATTTCAGTTGAAACTTACCTCCATCAACTGATGATCCACTCCTTAGTTAAAATCGGATGCTTTTTGCTTGCTGCAGAGGTATCTGCTTCCATATCTATTTGTGGTGACATGGTGGTGGTATTGTGTGTGCGAGGGGCGATGATTTTGTTTAAAATGTCGCCGCCATTTTTTGGCAGATGAACTTAAATGTTCTGCTGTTGTCGGGGCCAGACTTTGCCAGTGACGTAATTCATTGCTGGGACATTTTCCTTACGGCCGCTAGATGGCGCCCTTTACCCATGAATGGCTGGCTGAGCGAAAGTTCTAACTCGAAATTTCAGCCAACAGTAGGAACCTTTCAGAAGATCGATCTGTTGAGAGGACTTATGGAACAAAGGGAAATATTATTCATTCGTGTTTCAACAGATATGTATGATTAATGTTTGTTCTACAGTGTGGTGCAAAATCACAGTGTATTTCGCATGGAATGGTTACATTGTTTAAATAGGTATTTACAAATCTTTTTGAAATGCCAAAACCTGGCCTAATTTTGCTACATTTCACAGCAGTAGTGACATTTTCGGAAAATAAATATAAAATACATTTTAAAAAAGGTTAAGGTTAATGAAATACATTAAAATGTTTTTGTTTTTTTGTCAGTTTTATTTTGTTATTTGTTTATTTGTTAGTAGCTTTTATTTTTGTCTCTTCTTATCAAGAAAATATGTGTTTTTCTGGGACCTTGCTGTATTTTGTTAGTTAGTTCGTTGTTTTCCCAGATTAAGATTTGCAAAAACCCTTTTTACTGCTATCACATAATCTAAGACAGAACATTTCACAATGCTTTTAGTTTGAGGACTTATGTTTAATTTTAAAAATGTTATGTTACCACCCTAGCTGATGTGCATAAAGCCTTATAAAAGAAAAACTGTTTTATTGTGTCACTTTTTAAAAGCCTGGTAGAGTCCAATAAAGTGCCTATGATTCTGCAGGGTGTCATATGTTTTAGTTGTTTTAGCTGATGCTAGCAGCTCTACATTAGTTATGATCGGGATGAATTCCAGATGTGAGCTGCAATTTTTAAGTAAAGCAGTTTTCTTTTCATCTCTTTTTTTTAATATTCCCAAAGTGTTTCCTGGATTGCAGTCTTCCAATTATTTGAGATATATATGTGTGTGTGCGTGTGTATGCGTGTGTGCATGAGAGAGAGATCCAGTAGTCCATGAAGAGGGAGGGAGGGAGAACCGTGGAATGCTGTGATGTCATCAACCAGTCACACACACAAAGACGAGGAGGACCCACAGGCTCTCTGACTCTCAGCTCAGTTAGCACACTGTGCTGTGGAGCGGCGGCTCTCTACATCCCACTGTGAGTACTCGAACAAATTCTACCCTTTTTACCTTCTGTTGTTCTATCACTCACTTTCCTCCCTCACATTTCCTGTTTTTCCCCCCCTGGGTTTCCCCTCTAAATGCCCCCCTCCTCCTCTGCAGTGTAGCAGACAGCAGTCTGTATCCCACTAATGTGTCAGTTTGAGCAAAACCTTTCTTTCCCTCCAAGTGTTGTTACTGCTGGTGGAAGCCTTTGTTTAACTTGTTATCGCAGAGAGCAGAGGAGCCAATTTCACTCCCACTGCTGGAAAGACTGGCCCGCATGCTCCAAAGACATGGCCAACTTCTTTATGTCCAACTGCTGACTCCGAACACGCTAAAATGGAGCTGCTATCATGCTTAGCTTGTGGGGAGACAAGAACATGGTTTAGTGGAAGGGATGCATGTTGGGGAGGGGAAGGAGTGAGGTCGGCAGCTGATGACAGAATCGGTTCCGTTCCTCTGGAATCTCCTCCCATTCTTGACATCAGCCTCCCTGTCGGAGCAGAAACAGGCTTTGGGATCTTCCGTGTTCCTGAAGGGAAGAACAAGATAAAAACTAGACCGAATGATTCCAAAAAAATAATATAAAAATGAACAAAAAGGACAAAGTTTGCAAGACAACATAGTCTTTCAAGAAATATATGTAGCATTGCATATCAAATTGAGGGAATAACATGATCTTCTATATGTTGTCTGTTTTTTCTCCATAGATATTTCCCCCAAAGATGGCCTCCAAAAACCTTATGTCTTAGCAGGGCAGGGAGCAGAGAAAAGAAAGGAAACAGGGTTTCAAGTGTGTGTGTGTGACATTGTGAGAAGATATGCATGATTTGTGATTCATAGAGAAAAGTTTGTGTTGGTTGTTGCTAGGCTAAAGAAGACAAGAAACTCTAACAGGATGAGACTATAAACTATCACCTCCAGCAGTCGGCCCATGAGACCCTCTCTCTACTTCTCCCAGTTACATTAGATTAAAAAAAATAAATAATTATATACCCCGCCGCCAAAATGCTGCAGCAAATTCTAAAGGACATGTACATCGACCCCGACGTTCTGGAAGCTCTGAACGAGGACCAGAAAAAGACACTTTTCTTGAAGATGCGACAGGAGCAGGTCCGACGCTGGAAAGAGCACGAGGAGAAGCTGGAGAGGGAGGGAGGCGCTGCCCAGTCAAAGGGGACAAAACCAAGAAACGGTAACCACCCCGACCAGACACTGAAATGTCATGTTCAAAATAAGCTCAGAATCCTTTCTAAGAACACCTCCACACACACAAATCTGCAGATATACACCACATGCTCTATCGCAAATCAAAACATTTCTATACAAACTCAGACATTCACTGTATAAGCTAAATGCTAGAATCCCTGGCCCAGTGATTGTTTTTTCTTTTTTGTTATAATTGTTTCACATCTTTTGTCTTTATGTAGTTGACCAAATTCTGGCTGTGGTGAACATCTGTTCCAGCTCAGTACGACTGGACTTTATTCCTCTGTTTTGCGTCAGAAACAACTTTTTCTTTTATGTCACCCTATAGGTTTTCTTTTCTTATTGCATTAAGGTCAGAGGATTTGGCTGAGCTCTCCATCGTGTTAATCTTGTTGGTCTGGAACCAGAATGCTGTTCACTTACTGGTGTGTTTGTGTTCATTGTTTTGTGGGAACACCCATTCCAAAGCTACTTCCTATTCAGCATAAGGCAGCATAACCTCTTTTTTTTTTAGTGTTATGTTTTCAAACTGATTGCCCGATCGCCAACATCTGATTGTAGTTTTGACACCTCAGCATGAGAGACATGTCTGTGCCAAGACACTTGGGACCCTGAGCTTATCAATAACAAGTAATAAGTGACATCGCTTTAAGTTCTTTAATATGTTGTACCTTTCCTCTTCAAAACAAAGTGTTTTGGATTTTTTTTTGCCTTGGATTTTGATTATCATCTTCTATTTGTTGCAGTACATCCATACAGATGATAACTCAGAAACCTTCATCCTTTTGGCTTTTCTTTGATCTCTTCAAGTAGCACTTCTCTGTTTTCTTCCACATTGATGTGTTTTCTGTTTTTAAAGCCTCTGAGATCATGTCAGCTGAGCAACCTGTCATTTTTAGCACTTCTTTCTGTGTTTTCATCTTTTCAATCAACTTTGTAACCCTAGTACAATGCTCAGGTGCTTGTAGAAGAATGCTCCATAAAAAGCTTATTGAACTCTTCCTGCATTTATCCTCTCATATCGGCCTCCTGTTTGACACCTCTTTGTTCACAG